GCCCCAGTCCTGCTCCTGGAGGGGCTCCCCTTGACCTGGCTTCCCCTTGGGCATAGACCCATTGGCAGCCACTCTTTGAGTGTGGCCATCAAGCCCGTTCTTTATCCACTGAATTGTGCATCCATCAAATCCGTATTTTATCAGCTTGGAAACCAGGATGTCTTGCAGGACAGTGTCAAAGGCTTTGCTCAGGTCCAAGTAAATGACGTGAGTTGCTCTTCCCTTGTCTATTGATATTGTGACCTTCTCATAGAAGCCACCAGGTTTGTCAGGCATGATTTGCCCTTGGTGAAGCCATATTGACTGTACTCAATCACCTCTTTGTTATTCTTCTGCCTCAGCAGTGCCTCCAGGAGGATCTGCTCAATAATCTTACTGGGCACGGAGGTGAGACTGACTGGCCAATTGTCCCCCAGTTCATCCTTCTTTTCCTTTTTGAAAATTGAGATTATATTTCTCTTTTTCCAGTCAGTGGAGACTTTACCGAACTGCCATGACTTTTGGAATGTAATAGGGAGGGGTTTAGCAACCTCATCTGCCCGTTCCCTCAGTACCCATGGGTGTTTCACCTTGGGTTGCATGGACTTAAGCATTCTCAGGTTCATCAGATGGTCACAAACCTGATCTTCACTTACAATGGGCAGTTCTTTCATCCAACCCCTGCCATTGTCTTCTGTGACTTCGGGAGTGTGGCTGGAGCCCTTGCCAATGAAGACAGAGGAAAAGAACTTGCTAAGAACCTCGGCTGCCTCCAAATTACTTGTCACCAGTTCACTCGTTTCGTTTCTGAGGGGGCCCAAACCTTCCCTGGTGTTTTTCTTACAATTAATATACTTAAAGAAACTTCTGCTGTTTCCCTTGATCTCCCTGGCTAGATTTAATTCTAACTGAGCTTTCGTTTTTCTAACCAGGTCTCTTCCTGCTCTCACAGCTTCCTTATATGCACCCCACTCTAGCCGTCCTATCTTCTACTCCTTGTAAATTTTCTTTTTGTGTGACGGTCTGTCCGGGAGCTACTTGCTCATCCAGGCAGGTCTCCTAGCATTCCTTCCTGCCTTCCTCTTTGTTGGTATGCATGCTTTCATATGTCAGTATGAATGCTTTCATATTTCCTGTCATCTGAATGCCACTTCCAGCTGTATGCCTAACAGCTATTTCTAGACTTAAGAGGTGTCTTAATTTCAGTTTCTTTCATTAATTTTTCCAGGCAGGGTTCCAAATAATAGGGTCTGGTTTCTTCACTTCACTGTTCTTTCGCATTTGTTCATTAGGACCTGCAAGAAAAACTGGAGTGACCAAAATGATACCATTTTGTCTGAACTTTGCAACACCATACCTATAAAAAAGGAGAGGTAGCAAATCTGTTGGTGTTACTTCTTTTCAGTGGCACCTTTGACTCAGTCCAGCTAGCAAAAAGTCAACTGAACTATACCAAAAACTGCAGTTGAGGCTCTCCTTACTGAACTCTCCTACTAATCTTAGCGCTTCTTTGAGTTTAGCACCCATGGCTTTATTTGTAATGTAGCGAGTACAATCAGAAGTCAGACACGTTTTGTTATGTGATTTGATTTTTTGTGGATGATTTCGTAATGTTGTCTGTCACCAAAAATGTGCCACTTGAATTTGTGCTGTAATGGTGCTGTAGGTGTGACAATACATTGCCAACAGTAAAGTGTGATATTTATACCATCTGTTCTAGTTCAGGCCTTGAAGGAGAGTGTCATGGTCCCACGATGCAGTATAGAGTGTGTGAAAATCCTTCTTGTCCTGCTGGCATGCCTGCCTTCAGGGACTGGCAGTGCCAGGCATTCAGTGTCAGATCTTCATATCAGAAGCACGTGCACCAGTGGCAAGCGGTCATCGATGATGGTAAGTACAAACCATCTCCTAGATCCTTATCATCTGTTCATATGGTTTATAGCTCGTTGGTATTGTTGTTGATTAAGAAAGATAAGAGTAAAAACTAAATAGCAAGCAAACAAACAAGCCCCAGGACCAAGATTTTGGTAAGTCATTTCTTTTTGATAGACAAGATCTGGTGCTAGTTTCACACACTCTGGAATCTTTTGTCTTATGGTCCTATTGAATTTTTTCTTCTTCATATGTCATGACTACATTTGAACTGACAGTATCAGTCCTGTTTAATCAGAAATATAGTGTGAAGTTACTTAGAAGTACAGCTTCCTAGGGGAATGCTGCATCACTAATCATGCGTGTGTCAGTTACACTTCTCCCTACAAAGCCAAAAAGACCATATGGATATTGTGAGCTTCTATTTTCTGGAAGGAGAGGGCACTTTTAGCTTAACACTTGAGTATTTCACATACTAGTGCTTAATTTTGGAAGAAATCCGTGTGTAATGCATACTGCAAACTTCAGTAAGATTTCTATAAATCCTAAAACCCACTGCATGCAAAGTCTTGGCATTGTGCATGCATGCTTCATTGTAACAAACTTGCTTAAACGCTGCATCATTAGGAGAGTACTTGAGCAGGAGTATAGTAATGTCAATTAAGAGTATCCACAAAAGTAACATCGGTGTAAAATAGGAGGACTTAGAAAACAAAATGTTCTACCAGAGTTCTTGCCTGGAATCTGATCAACAGCTGCCAAAAGCCTTAATTATTTGCACTCTTAGCCTTTAGTAGACACTAACTGTGGACACTAGCATGTCCAAAATAGTTGTTGTATTTGAGTGAAGTCTCTTGCAGTCTGTTGAAGTTGTCTGATGTTGTTGAGTTTCTGCCTCATTGAGTTCAGTGTCCTTAAAATAATGTTTAGCTCGTTAATCTTGTATTTCTTTAAAAAATGCTAGTACATGCTTAAAGCTCCCAGGGAACTTTGTGATTACTATTTAAGGAGTATAACAAGGATGCAGAGGACACAAACTCAGGCAGAGACTCACACTTCTCAGCTGGAGATGTCTTATGTCTGACTGGCTTCACATGTTGGCAGAAGATATCCCATCTGTTTGCACCAGTCCTCTAGAAATACCCAGAGGCTGTGTCAGTTTTAGCAAATTAAATGTGCTCAGACCACTCTCTGTAAGTCAGCTGGCACAGAAGTCCTGTGTCCATATTTTTCAACACTTTTGCACTCTAAAAAGGATGGCGATGTCCATACTGCTTTTGGAAATGATCCTTTGCAGGTGGCAATTTCCAGTCTAGACTGAGCTAGTGCTAGTTAGCGCATGAGAAAAAATGTGGCATAGGCTGTTTTACAGTTCAGCTGTATAGACAGTAGAATTCCAGTGCCCGTGAATGTTTCCTGGAACTGTTTAATTTACTAATAAAAATGCACTCCAGGAATCAAGAAGTCAGTATGAAGTCAGAGTGCTGTAGACTGTGTCCAAGTGAAATCAGTTTCAAGTTCAGGATTGACCTTATCCTTTCAAAAATCTGCAACAGATTTAGAAAGAAGTTCTTAGTCAGTACACTTGTGAATAAAGATATGAAAAAGTAATGTAATTTTGTACTCAGTTGACCACTGAGAGGTGACTTTGCTTATTTTATTTACTTTTTTATTCTGTCTCAAAATTAGAAGTGGTTTGCAGAAGTTTTAGAAATGTAGTAGAAATTTGCCTGACCTTGGTAAAGATATTAGAAAGAATGCATTCAGGTTTTTGTCTTTTTTTTTTTAATGTGGACTTTGTAAATCCATATATTTTTCTTCCCAGGCTGTCTCAGTTACTTTTTTTTTTTTTCTTTGACCTGTATAGTTAGAAAATCTGGAAAGTGTTAAGTTTCTTTTTTAACCAATATTTATGATCTGCCAAAAATATTGTAGAATGAAAGTATAGATTACAACCAAAATATTCCAACAGCTGTAATGCACATAGTCTTAATTGCAACGATGAACATGACATGAGTACTATGTAAGCCACGTTTATAGCACCAGTATGCTCTAGCAGAAAAAAGAAGTTGAGTTTTTCAAACAGCTGAGAAAAGGATCAAAAACTTGTTTGCATTTTATCTATGGTAATGCTGATGTACATTCATGCCACACAGACAAGCAAATATCAGTTTTAAAGATAATGTTGATTCTCATTCTGTATTTGTTAAGTGGTGTTTTACCAATGTGGGGTTTTTTTCCATCAATTGCTACTACAGAAAAGCCATGTGCCTTATTCTGTTCACCGACTGGAAAGGATCAACCTGTTCTTCTAACAGAAAAGGTGATGGATGGGACTTCCTGTGGCCAGCATGGGTTAGATGTCTGTGCAGATGGTAGATGCCAGGTATGAATTACTTGTTTTGAACCTGAGTACGCAGGCACATGTATGCAAGGGATTATGTTTGATATGCACATGTGTTATTTCTGTGATAACATATTGCAGCACTTTGTGACCAAGACTGAGTGGCCCTTTCTGTGTCATGTTAAAATATTTTAAGCTAGTTTCACTCAGTGCAACACATGTGAAGCAGCTGAAGAGTTAGCTTGGGGAGTGCGTATCTGTGATGATAAGGACGTGTGTAGAAAACTGCTGCAGAGTGGAAAATTATTTTGAGTGATTTTGTCTTTTGAGGGAAGGCCCAGCTTTCAACAGATTGGGAAATTTTGCCATGGGATGTATGTATGTATGTTTGGTTCTGCTTTTTTCAAAAGTACAAAATTTTATATCTAAACAAACCAAGACCAAAGAATCAGAATAATGGGTAAGTAAATCTGAGTACTTATGCTATTCCTGATCCCCAGAATTCACATGGTTCATTGAAGTTTTTTTTGCCACTTTTTTAGTGCCTCATATGGAAACCCTTCTATTTGAAAATCCCACGAGGATGGTTTGTTTTCTTTGTCCATTTATCATTACATACATTGAATTCAGTAGAAAAAAAGCACCTCTAATACAGAAACATCATTGCTGGATAGTGTAATAACTTCAACGAATTAATTTAGAGATGCCTGCATACGTATGTAGATGCATACAAATGCATATCATAGAACTGCAGAATCGCAGAATGTAAGGGGTTGGAAGGGACCTTGAAAGATCATCTAGTCCAGCCCCCCTGCCAGACAGGATCACCTACAGTAGGTCACACAGGAACATGTCCAGGCAGGCTTTGAAGGTCTCCAGAGAAGGAGACTCCACAACCTCTCTGGGCAGCCTGTGCCAGTGCTCTGTCACCTTCACAGTGAAAAAGATTTTCTTTATGTTTACATGGAATATATACATATATATATGTACTTATAGGTGTCCTTTCTTGAGTGACTGCGTGCAACAAGAATACACTCAAATACTTCACTGAATTGAGGCTTTAGTTCACCATGTAAAAATTACAGGTTTAATAACAGTGATAATAAATAACCCGTTCTTCCTGAAAAAATGTTGTTTGTTCTGTCATTCACTTTACTTTTGGGGGTGTGGCAAAAAAACTCCCATATTTTGAGTAGAAAGCTGTGATGTTGCACACATTGCAGTCTCCAAGCAGGAGGGACTCTGAGGGTGCTGTGGCTCATGAGTACCAGAGGTCCCAGGCGGAGTTGGGAACATGGTGGTTTTCCTCTCGGAGAGCAACTGGTAGAGTTGGCCAACCATACGGGAAGAGTGAATGCAGCGGTCTATGTAAAATCATATAAAAAATTAGTATGGAAGGTTCTCTGTGCATGAACTAGTGCAGCCCTCATTCTGAGCAGGGTTAGGGTGTTTTGCAGAAGAGTCTGATGCCACTACTAAAGGCATCTTTATGAAATACATGGCCTGTGGCTCAATAACTTTATTTTCTTCTGCCACAGAAATTTGGCTGTGATGGCATATTAGGATCTCTGGCTCGTGAAGATCATTGTGGTGTATGCAATGGTAATGGGAAGTCATGCAAAGTTATTAAAGGTGATTTTAACCATACCAGAGGAGCAGGTAAGTCTGATTATTTCAGACACTCAAGAAGGCAGGAGCTGTTTGATTACTTTGAGCATTACGATCTTTAAAAAGCTATATTTCTTAAAATTGTACACTTCATCACAAGAACTGGTCTACATTTTTTTTTTTTAAGATAGTAAGACATTTAAGATAGGAATGTGTATTTTTAAATTTAATTGCTGCAGAATTATTGCAAATTGTTTCAACTGTAAAATTAAGGAATTGTCCCATTTTTCTTCTATTAGGACAAATTATTTCATAGAAAAGCGTGATTTTTAAAAATATATGAAATAAAAATTATTTCTTTATTAAATAAATAAACTGTAAATTCTTACAGTGTTTAGATTAATTTAGCTGCTCTTCAGAAAAAATACCCTAATTATGGTCTCTTACCTGGAGTAATGGCATTAAAACAAGCAGGGCGGTGGAAGAAAATAAAGCCAAATGTGTGAAGAAGTCTTATATCTTTACATTTTTTGTTGTTTTATTCCGATAATAACATGTAATAAAAAACAAATAGATTTTGTGATGCAGAATGAACATGAGATTTTTCAAACACTGCCGTGATCTGTCGTTTGAACCAGAATAATTGACTAGATCTAGCACAGTAGTGCTGACAGAGCACTGAAATCATAGTAATGTATGCCATACACTGTGTGTACTTTCTCGTCAAGTCTTGTCTTTCAAATAGCGTTCAGCCAGCTGTTTTCAGCACTTGTTTGGCATTGCATTTTCATTTTCTTCAGTAGAAAATGTGCACAATTTCAGGGCAATAAGTAAATCACATAAAAAATACTGTAATTAGAATCAGATAGTATATCTTTGAAATTATGCGTTATAGACTGAAGCATTAAAAAAAAGAAAACGTGAGACATAGTCTTCAGATGTTTACGTCTGGTCATCTCTTAAGCTGAGGGTAACACAGAGCAGGAATCCCAGACTGTGGATGAGCCTAGAGAACTACAAAAACTACAAAGAAAATAGCTGCTAGTAGAAATTACAATGTGTCAGTTCTCTTTTTGTAGCTAGTGTGAGTATTCATACACTTTTATTCAGGTTTCTGTATCAACCCAGGATATTGTGATCTCGCCCTTGAAACAACTGCCTAAGTTATTGTCCAGTAAGTTTCCAAGAAGTTGGACTGTCAGCAATACGTGGGAGTGCTGTAAGCTCTTAAGGAGATTAAAGATAAACAGTGCTGCTTTACAGCAATTCATTTTTCATGTTTCAGGATTACTGAAAACGTGCTGTAAATGCTTGATATTTTCTTATAGAACATTGTGTAGCTACATGGAATAAAAACTTGTTTTACTGTCCGCTTTTTGAAGTACACCTAGATAATTGTTTTTCTTTATTTATAGCATTCCTAAAAAAGTGTTTTTCACCTGCATTGTCTTTTCACCCTTTTTTACCTAAAGCAAATTACTCAACAGCATTCCTAGTGCCCCACAGAAGGGAAGTAATTGTAATGTAAACCAAATAACTAATAAATAGAATTCAAAACTAAAGCCGTTCATAACAGGCTTTGAATATGTTAAAGCAAGAAGAGGGAGAGTGAGCACAAAATATTAAAAAAAAAATGCCACCAAAACCAAATCCAAACAGTGGATAGTTTTCAGTGTCATATCATTTGTCCCTACATGCTGATTGAGGTTGAAATTCGTTTATTTTCCACATAGAGTACTGATGATGACACAAAACTACCTGGCCAGAGACAGCTTCATTTGCTCCAGCCCAAAACTGCCCAGCTGCCCTAGTTCTTGTTGGTTTACTTTGCTATACTCTTATAATCGTGTATATATTATATATATGCATTACAGATAATGCACAGTTTCATAACTTGTTTTGTTTCAACATTTTGCAAGAACCCTATATTAATTATATAACTATATAAATTGTAACTTGCTATATAAATTGTAACTTGCAACAATTAAAAAGTGAAATAGGAGGGGAGAAATGAAGAAACATGCAAGATGTACTTTTCTGCCCTTTTGTATTTAACTCAGGACATCTGGTCTCATGTCTAGGTTATGTGGAAGCTTTGGTGATACCTGCAGGAGCAAGGAGAATCAAAGTTGTTGAAGAAAAGCCAGCTCACAGTTATTTAGGTAAATGTCATATATTTTAGTATTCATGTCTTATTTTGGTCAGTACCGAAGAGTGCTAGCTAAACATGCTTTTGTGATTTAACAAAACTCTTGAGTGGGAAAAAAAACCAGACATATCTGTGAAGTATAAATCCAAAGAAATTTTGTATAAATAGCAAAATAAAAGTGAGATTGTAGCACTATTCTTCATATAGATTTTATTCTGAATATTTGTCTCATCTCATTTTGTTTAGAGAATGTTTCAAATAATGGATTTGGATGATTTATGAAAAATTCTTCATATTTTAACACTTTCAATTATTCACATTAAAAGCACTGAAGAAAATACTTCACAATGAAACCAGTGAAAAAAGTTTTGTGCGGAAACATGTAATAGTTTGTGTTAAGACAACAAAAAACCACACTGACCACCATATAGCAAATCATTTAAAAAGTCGAATATTCTAAAATTAGACTAGGAACACAGCAAAGTGAGTGAATTGTCTGAATGTTTGAGTGGCCAAATTTAATCACAGTGATTTTTCTTTTTTATTTTTTCCATTTCTGTGAAACTATCTTTCTTTAAAAAAGAAGTTTCTATCTTCTAATGAGTTTTAAAATTGTTGTGTAGGAGAGTATAATTTTTTACTATTATTGTTACAGAGTTTAAGTTAATATAAGAAATACCGTAATTGATGCTGTTCCATGCACTGCTTAAGCTTAAATTGAGAGAGACTTAATACGTAAAATGGAACAATGAAGCGAAAAAATCCCTAGTTTTATCACTATTCTTAGTTCTAGTCATAAGTATTATCTACATTTTAAGAAATTTTTGTATAAGTGTTCTAGTACTTCAGCTGAGAGAATGTTGAAGATGGTGAACCTTATTTATGACAGCTTAAGTTATGAATAGGTGACTCTCAGTTTATGATGGAATCTTCATCTGTCCTGTTATGTATCAAAGGAGATATAGAGATCTGGATTATTTCATTATTTCCCAATGGACCATAGACAGAGATATGTAAGAGTATAAGAATTTTCATTGGCATATTTTCTCAATATTCTAATTATTGTTTGTTGTTAACACACGTGGGCAACAGAAACAGTATTTTTTTTTTAAATAGTGTAAATATGAATAAATGTTGGAATTTTACTTAGGGAAATTAATTCCTTTTTCATGAGTACCAAACTGATTCATGCCTTGCCTTACAAAAGGCAAAAAGGATGTAGTGCTTTTATGCCCATGAAGTACTGTCAGTCATGCTGCTTCTTTTTGCACATGATCAGCTCTTAATTGCCTGTCGTTTTAATTATACTTTTCTTAATTTTACTGGCGTCTGTCTGAATGAGGGTCAGCCAGTATTTCACTGCAAGATATTTCAGTTAAGCCTTCAGGAGGAAGAAGGAGCAGTTCTGTTACATTATTTTGAAGTAAAACCTGTGTTGCAACTTTTTTTTAATTTTTTTTTTTTAATAGCAGAAAGTATTATAACTTTCTTAACTTAGAGGAGATTGATTCTGAAACCATAAAAATCTGAAGTGGAGTAACATTTTGAATAGTGACATATTTGAATGGGAGCAATGAAGTTATGGGGAGCAGGCATAAGTCTTTTATCTTTAGAAACAACATTCTTCAAAATACCATGATTAAAACTGTGAAAGGTAGTAAAGATTAAATTCTGTCATGTTTCTGATTAATTTTCCATCTTCTAGTTCTGCATGCTAGTTCTGTGTTGCATGGTGCTTTACTATCAGCATTTCTGTACTTGAAATGGGTCATTACAGGCCAACACTGTTTTTATTTTGCTACCTGTCATATACACATTTCAGGAATAAAGTCTTTGAATAATGTAGCTCATTATAAAATTAATAATTGTATAATTAGAGAAACAGCTGTAACCACAATTTAATATAGTGTACACTAAGAACTGTGGCTTACAAAACAGAAGCTAATTTAAACTGAGGGAAGATTTGATACTTCTTGTAAAGTACCAGTTAAAAATGGAGTCAAAATGAAATGCCCTTCTCTGGTTTCACTCGGAAAGCAGAGTCATTGCGGTAGTGTTGCTAAAGTGATCAGTAAAACTACAGCCTGCATCAGGAGCATTATTGAGTGACTGTGCTGCTGAAGCAGATCTTTAAGAGGAGTTCCACCTGAGCACTTCAGATATCTTCTTTATCTGAGGTATACCACCACAGTAACAGGAGCTCTGGCATCCTAGGAGAAGAGATGAAGCATAACTGAATTTGTTTACTGAATAAACTGAATTTATGCATTGATGTCTATCCTGTCTGTTCTCCCCTGTGAGAAGGTAGGAACAGTGATACACATTAGATATTCCTCCCTACTGAAGTTTTATCAGAAAAGACATAAAAATTTGTGATTCTTCTTTCATCAGTAGAGTATTCAGTAGCAGTATAGAGGAGGGAGGGTGCTTATATTTGAGAATATTTCCTAAAGCATATACTTACTAATTTTGAAATTAGAATTCATTATTTTAAGAAAGAATGTTGAGATTTATTTTCAAAGAACAAACTAGCAGTAATAACCCTGTCTGCTTATAACCATGCTGACATGAGACTTGACTCATTTTCAGTTAATCAAAAATCATTATTGTATGAACAGCTATAAAATAGCTATTTCAAGCATTATCTAGATCCCTGTAGTCTAAGATAATGCCTTTTTCTGATGCTAAATTTAAATTTACATTTGGCAGCTGTTAAAAGATTTTTCAAAACAAGTTCTTTATGTAGGTTACAAAAAGGAAGATTACAGTATTTTTTGGTATAAGAGGTACACTAGACTTTGAGATTAAAGAACTTGTTCATGTGACACTTGTACAATGACATAACAGGTCTAGGCCCTATAGTGCATCAAGAGGATTGTTTAATGGTATATAACTATACAAATGACTTAAAATCTAAAATTTGGCTGTTTTTTATGTGCAGATTCTAAATGCGAGAAATGATTTGTTTTCAGATGAACTGAAGAATTGTATTAGCTGTGCCATTATTCTCAAATATGCAGTCAAGCTGCTTCAGGGATATAGACTTAGGATCTGCAATTTAGCACTGCATGACATTGTAATTTCTGATTCTCTGACAGGTATCAAGTTCATAGATGTGTTGTGTTCTGATTTCCTTTGTGAAATGTGTTTTCTAGTTAAAATAAAAGCATACTTATCCAGCTTGAGGACTTTAATAGTCCAACATCTGCTGGGAAAACAGCATAGCAAGCTGAAAACAGTCCAGAAGACTCTTGGAGTGCATCGAAGATAATTCCTTCATCCAGGTTATAGACAGCCCAACCAAAGAAATAGCATTAATGGACCTTTCTGGTTGCTTACAAACATAGATGAACTATTTAGAGAGGTCAAGACTGATGACAGCCTGGGTTGCCACAGTCATGCCCTGGTGGAATTCATGGTCTTGAGGGATGTGGGCCAGGTGAAGACTAAAGCCAGGATTCCAGATGTTAGGAGAGCAAGCTTTCAGTTGCTTAAGGAATTAATGAATGGAACTCCCCAAGAAACTGCCCTTGGTTAAAGGTGCAGAACAGATCTGGCAGCTCTTTAAGGACATTTTTCCTAGATCACAAGACCTCTCAGTTCCTGTGGAGGAAGCTGAGATGGCTGATTAAGGACCTTCTGATCAGATTAAGGGTAAGAAGGAAATGTGTAAGCAGTAGAAGCAGGTACATGTATCCTGAGAAGAATATAAGGATGCTGCTTAGTTGGGTAAGGATGGGATCAGGAAAGCTAGGGAACAACTGGAGCTGAATTTGGCAAGGAATGCCAAGAATAAGGGCTTCTACAGATATGTTAGTCACGAAAGGTGCATTAAAGAAAATGTATATGCACACACAGACACACCCTGATAAATAAGACAGGAGAACTAGTGGCAATGAACATGGAGAAGGCTGAGGTATTCAGCAGTTCTTTGCCTCAATGGTAAACACTCTTCCACATCTCTGAAGTCCCTCAACGTCAAGGTAGGGACTGGTGGAATGAATTCTCTCCTATCATATGTCCTGTTTGAGACCACCCGAGGAACCTCAACACACACAAGTCCATGGAACTCACTGAAATGCATCCCAGTGTCCTGAGGGAACTGTATGACATAGTTGCCAAGCCACTGTCAAATGTATTTGAAAAGTCATGCAGTCAGGTGAATCACAGAAGCATAGAATCATAGAATTGTAGAATCATAGAATGTGTTGGGCTGGAAGTGACCTTTAAAGGTCGTCTAGTCCATCCGCCCTCTAGTGAGCAGGGACATCTTTAAGTAGATCAGGTTGCTCAGAGGCCCATCAAGCCTGACCTTGCTTGCCTCCAGGTGTGGAGATTCTACCACCTCTCTGGGCAACCCGTTCCAGTGTTTCATTGCCCTCATTGTAAAGAACTTTTTTCTAACATCTAATCTAAATCTACCCTGCTGTACTTTAAAACCATTGCCCCTTGTCCTATCGCTGCACACCCTTGTGAACAGTCCCTCCTCAGCTTTTCTGTAGCCCCCTTCAGGTAATGAAAGGCTGAGATAAGATCTCCCCAAAGGGTTCTCTTCCCCATGCTGAAGGAATAAGGAATGTCGCACCATTTTCTAGAAAGGGTAGTAAGGAAGACCCTGGGAACTACTGACCAGTCAGCCTCACCTCAGCTGAAATTTTTAAAAAGTTAGGCAAAACTCAAGTCTTAATGTTAAGATGGCTTGAAAGGAACAAAAAACAACCTAGTTAGAAGTGAGACAGTGACTTCCTTGACAAAAGATACCAGTGAAGGTACTCTCATTTAGAATTGAATTTCAGATATTTTTTGTATTTTCTTGAGAAAAATAAGGATCAGTCAAAATGACATTGTTTTGATACTTTTCTGGAGAGTATGACTGAATTTTGCACAGAGCAAAAGAGAACATTCCCAATTTGTGAAGATGTCAGCTTCCTTCTTATTTTGGTACAGATGCCTCTTTTATTAATGTCTCTGTAAAGTGTGGCAATTTCAACTTAAGCAAACATTTCAAAGTTAATATAGTGATGTAGTATTTTACGGTTGGCTGTAGAAAATAATAAAGGGTTAGCAGACACAGATTTACCAAATTAAGGACCAGGACTCAGGCATTGTTGCTCCCTGGTGAGCACTGGGAGGTGCAATAGCTGAGCCGCGAAACGCTGCACCTATATGGCAGTGTAGTGTCTCACACTTCATTAAAATTGGAAGAGTGTATATCCCTGGTACAGTAATTGCAAAATACATTACACGCATCACCATCACTTAATTGTTATTGTGATGATGGCTGCTCTATGCTCTGCAGATGTGCACTTGTGATTAGCTCCTCTTTTTTAGCACAGAAATTTTGGTCTTGGTTACAGTTGCAGTAGGTTTTCCCAGTCCAAGTTTTCCATGTTTTTCTTTTTAGTTGTAGACGTATTGATTGATTTGTTTTATAACCTGAGAGAGGATACACTTGTGCACTGAATTTTTCTTCCTGCTTTGTATTACTTTGTGCAGGAAATCCTCTTCTATCAAAACTGAATCAGAGTGGGAGTATATGTGTGGTGTGGAATAAAACTCAGTGAACTTGCGCACAATGTGGCAGAGTCAGGAAGAGAATCCAAGCCTAAATTTCAGGCTTGTGAATACCCTTTCTTACTTTGTCTAACCCACTGGCTCAAGTGAGGAATCTAAAAGTAGAAAATGCAAGATCTTGCCATATTTCTGTATTCTGGGACTGGGATTCCGGTCCCTTGCACATGTCTCCATGATGGGTCTGCTGGGTCTGCTGCTCTCTGGGGAGAGGATGCTGCTCCATCTGAGCAGCATGACCCGACTGGACCTCAGCACTTTCAGGCACATTTGCTTAGTTTCTCCACTGGGAAGAGGCCCCTACACTTTAAACACTAAATAGAATTCAAATACCATTAATAATAGAATGTTTAAAACTAAAATACCAATTTTTAAGTCTTGTAAAATCACTGGTTATTTTTAGTACAGGGCTGTTCTACAGCATTAAAGGATTTTATAGTCTTAACATTTATTACACTGTGCTGCAGTTGTACACATCAGTGATGTCTTACGCAATTGGTTTTCTGGCAATTCATAGACCTGTTGTCGTCGTTTCCCTTGGAAACAAAACATAACAGTACAAATATGAATAGGAGAGAAGATGATTACAGGAGTGACTCACATTAGCTTACAACTTTAAAAAAGAAATTTTGGACAAAGCTTAAACTATTGAGGTACTCTTACAACAATCTGATGCCAAACATGCAATTTCAATGAAGAGGAATGTGTAAAATTTTTTATCCAGAAGGGGACTTCAAATATATTCTACCTCACAAGATTATTCTGACTTATTTGAATAAAATAAAATAAAATAAAATAAAATAATAAAATAAAATAAAATAAAATAAAATGAAAGTTTTTCACAGAAGAATTTATTCCGTTTACTGTTGAAAATTAATGTAAAATCCTGTGTTTGAGTGTATGAAATATATCCTGCTTGACTTGATGATGCTTTTGGATATAAATTAGACCAACTAGAGGAATGATTCAGCCAAAAAGAACAAGCTTTTCCTATTTGTTAGAAGCATCTTATGTATTGAAAGAATATAAAATAAGTGTTTACGTAGGGTGACAGTAGTATCGTCACAATCTAAATTGGAGAAAAAATGCAAATGTAGTTGTTAGAGGGAAGCCTAAACTAGAATTTTTTTTGAAGTGGTAGCCTATTTCCACAAATCTTGAAGAGTGTCCTGTGAAAATTTTGTTTCCCATGCCTTTATAGATTATAGAAATGACTGCCCTGGGAACAGAGAATGATATCCTTTGCCTTTAATTAGTCCAGTGATCAAGTGATGAATTCTGCTGGAGCCTGTCAATCTCTTCAAGCATTAAACCATTGATGTTAACTTCAAGTAACGTTAAACACACATGTTTTTTTGAAGCATTCTTTCCAGAAAGTGTTTCTGAAGCATGTTCCAACTAAAGTTCATGTATAGTATGATCTAAAAATATCTTTTCAAAGTTAGGTGGTTTTACCTGCTTGTTAAATTATCCAAACATGAAGTGAAAGGAGGCCCAAATCTCTACTAAGCAGACACCTTTGACACTGGTCTTTTTAAATATATTTTGCAGCTCTTCGAGATGCAGGAAAACAGTCCATCAATAGTGACTGGAAGATAGAGCATTCAGGAACATTCAATATTGCCGGCACCACTGTCCATTATGTTCGGAGAGGTCTCTGGGAGAAAATATCAGCCAAAGGCCCCACAACATCACCTTTACATTTACTGGTATGACAATATGGATTACTTGATTCCTGTCCTATAGCATGGTAACTAGTATTTTCTTCCAGGCTCCTGAAGATATGTCTGCTTTTATATGTATAGATACACGTTCTTAAATATATAAAAACGTCAACTGACTCTTAAATCTGAGAATAATCTTTGTGTTGTTGAGGAAAGATTGAAGGACATTCCTACAAATCCCATAAAAAGCTGATGTGCTACCTAAGGAGAGAGATTCAAGTTAATATTAGGTGTTTTCTGTCCTGGTTAACTACAGCACAGCATCGCCGTTTCAGAATTGCAGTCACTAAAGTTCTTCATTAAGGGGGAAACTAATTTCAATGTAGGGGAAGAAGAGCTGATAGCTACCAGAAAGAAAGAGAGAGAGATGATGAGGAAGTACTTCTCAATTCAAAATCTTTCAAATGTAAGGGATTTTCTGGTGTATCTGAAATAATTTTAATTCAGATGCATCTAGGAAAGACCTCCTTTATTTAAGAGCACTGACATCACAAGACATAATCGTCCTCTGTATTTCTGGTGACTTCTCTTTGCTTATTTCGTATGGAGAGCTTTTCAACCCTTATGCTAAGTAAAATGATTTTTCCCATTGTTTTGATTTGGATACTGTCAATGATTTCTTTTTCAAAATCCATCAGGAGGGTTGAAGTGCTGTAGAGCATGAAGTCACTCTGTTGTACTTTTCAAGATTGTCTTCTCACAGTTCTGAGTTTATCTTCCACCTTGTCTGTGTACATCGGTAGGTTTTCCTTCCCGTATCTTGCAGGTGCTGCTCTTCCATGACCAGAGCTATGGTCTGCACTACGAGTACACAATCCCACTGGATCCTCTTCCTGAGAATCAGAGCTCTAAAGTACCAGAGCCACTCTTCATGTGGACTCACTCTGGCTGGGAGGACTGTGATGCTGTATGTGGAGGAGGTAAAATAAAAGAGAAATGTAGAGACACACCACATGTATTAAAAATGTATTTGCATATTCAAATGCATGAATGTACGAAATGTGGATGTATACACAAAACATTCACGTGTGTGTACACACTCTGTGTATATATACATCAATTAAAGCACATGAGGTATTAATATTTAAGATTCTGATGATGAGTGTGGTGTATTTAACAGTAACATCCTCATTGTGGCTTGTATGATTCTGTACAATGGTGGACACACTTCATTCTCATGCTTCCTGATTATATTAAAAGAAGAGTGATAACTCTGGGAAAAGATTCAAACTAAATAAAGTAAGTAGAAGAGGTAGCGAGGGAACAAAATCTAGATTAGCAAAGTAAATTCAGGACACAGTTTCCAAAAAGAAATACAAGTGCAAGAGCTAGAACAAGGATGTAAATTTCATATGCATTCCACTCTGTGTTTGGAACTATTGAGGATAAATGATCTGTAAAAGACATTTCAAACCACAAAAAAGCTGAACCCCCATCTCAGGCCAAATACGTACAGTTAGTAACATGAGTTGAGGATGATCCAGAAACATATGGAACAGATATTACAACAGCAGATTTTAGTATACTGGTGTGATATTTTTCCTATTTTTATGTTTATAAACAAAAAAAAAAAGTCGATTTGGAAGAACAAACTACCATTCTGAAAACAAATGTTGGAACACAAACAGTATTAGATTAAAAAAATCCTTTACAAATACTGTTTAGAAAATAGTTATTGAAATAGATAACTACACTGAAAAAAACACTTCTTTTTTTTTTTAATGCAACCCATAGAGATCTGTTCATGCCTTATGCAGTTAGTCAGACTTACACAATGAAAACTATACTGATTCCGATACCCATCCTTCCAGCTTAAGAACTTGACAGTCACGATTGCTCTGATCAGCAGTTTTGAAAATGCTGGTGCACCTTGTGATTGAATAAGAAGGCCTGGAAATGCTGTACTTTCTCATAACAGCAGCATAAGGAACACTGTGTTCTAGCTCTTTTGACTCTGTGAACAATCCTGGTGTCGTGACAGACTACTATAGTTTCCATAAACATGCTTTTTGTGGCTTGGTAAGAAAGCTTCTTCCCTGAAGGTAATTTGTACGTGATGCTAGTAGCATCCTCTGCTTATTAGTAGTGCATTCCTATTCAGTTGGAATATTCATGCTTTTTGCAGCTTCCTGAAGTATTTTTAGAATAATTTTAATGCTACCATAATCCCACATCATTACCCCAAATGTTTCTAAAGTTACAGATCATCTGGAGAAGCCTTAAAATGCAGTATATTGGTAATTTATTCTACATTCATGATTAAATAAATATTTAAGCGTTTTACTGTAATGTTTATTTATCATATTTTTCTGTTGTATCTGGCCTTCATTTTGCATTACTGTCTAAAATAGATAAGTTAATACAAAGTTCCATAAAAGGTACTTTTACTGCAAATGTTCTGAAATATAAGTGAAATACATTTTTTACTTTAGATAAAACCATTTTAACTGTACTTTTAGTCCTTGGCTTAAATATGAAGGAATAATGAAATTAAAATACAGCACTTTGTATCCAGTAAATATTTGTGTTTCAATTTTAAACATTAATATTTTGATGACTCTGATTAAAGAATGTGACAGTTATTGGTAATTCTGCTAAAAAAGTTTAAAGTGTATGTCAAGATGATACTGTTGATGCAATCATGTGGTTTCATGCATGTTTATTCAATTGGCCTGTGCCCTCCTGTGTTGCAGAAGAGCTTTCTTTGTGTGCGAGAGAATACGAATACGCAGAAAGATATGTAAATGCAGAAATAAATGTCAGACGTTTCAGATGCTGTATATGACAGATTAGTTGCATGTACTGTCACATACACAAGCGTCATGTAAAATGTCAGCTGTAGTCACACACATAATGCACATTTATAACTTACCTGCTCCATCCACAGACACCTACTGACTGTAGATGAACATGACATACTTGAAAATCTGTTCTGTTCCTGTAACCTAAAATTTAACCGCAGGAACAAATGATTAAGAACCTATTTTCTACTGATTGATGTCTTTAATTCAAGTATTGCTAGTTTTCTAAAAATTAGGCTCCAATCTAATTAAGTTACACCTTGTCCTTCCTTTTTTAACAAAGCTGCATATTTTTGGTTTCCCCACACACCTGCTTTATTTTTTACTAGGTGAAAGAAAGACAACAGTCTCTTGCACAAAGATTATGAATAAGAATATCAGTGTTGTGGACAACAAGAAGTGCAAATATTTAACGAAACCTGAACCACAGATCCGCAAGTGCAATGAGCAGTCATGCCAGACCAGGTAATGGTGATTCGATTAAATTCAACTGTAATATCTAGATGTGAAAATCATTTGAGCTAAGAGAGGTGACTGTGTCTGGCAATGAATGTGCAGTTAATGCATACACCCAAGAAGGTTATGTAGTGCAAAATGTAGGGATAGCAGAAACACTGGCTGTTATTTTTCCTGAGTTTTAATGAAAGAGAGCCCATAGGCACCATGCCTAAATCAGTTCTTATTCAATAAACCAGCTCATTACTTTCCACAGGAAGTGTTCTCATAGACTGGTATGTACTATGAAATTGAAATCTAAATGCTATTTATATGAAATTTAATGAAATATAATCCCATGTTTTTCATTAATGACATATTTTAGTGTATTGTTCAGTCAAGGCTTTGCTCCTTTAAAAGCTCTCGGTAAGCCGTGGGTGCCCTAAGTAATAAATAAATAAATAAATGACCATTAATGGAGTTTTCTACCTTGGTACAACTTGAAGTGCAGCAAGCCTTCCCCTCACCCCTCTCCTCCCTCTGCCCTCTGCTCCCTCTGTATCAATGGGGAATAATGGAACAGTGGCAAAAGCAGGAGGAGCTTTTTTCCTCCCAGTTTCATCCCAGGAGGCAGCTGCAGTCTGCAGCCTGTGCCCTGCAGAGTCAACCCCGTTTGATGTCCCTGCAGCAGAGCTGGCAGCCTGCTCCTGCCTGGCCAGGCTGGCACGGTGACCCATTTCAGAGTTTGCCATCCTATTTCCATATGGCAGCTAAGCATTATGACCAAGGAAGTCCCTAGGTATTGTGTAGACTTAGTTAAGGTATCTGCCACCTTTCAAGGGAGGGGAGAGCAGCTAGCAATAGTTAGCCAGCATCCCCAGGGGCAAGCACTGGTATATGTCTCCTGCAGTCATCTAGAGGAAGGGTAGATAGTATTTTTAAAGAAAACAATGCAGAGTAAATGAAATGCAAATTTTTTTGAAGAAGGTATGTAAAATGAATCAGAAGCTATAGCTTTATTGGAAAGGATGAAATACTGAAATTGATACAATGCAAAATATGGTATTTTATTAATTTAAATAAGATCAAAACACTGAGGTTTGAACTTCCCCAGTCTAGAGCATTACACTTTGGAGGGATTATCTGTACTTCATTATATAAATACTTGGGCAATCCTTACTTCAGTTTAACATTACACTTAATGGATAGAAATGGAATTGTCTGATGTTTTTTGAGGCATTGCCAACTATAAATTTTCAATGTTCTGTACTTTTTTAGCTTATTAAAAGAAACTTTTAAAATGTTGTTAATTGCTACTCAGAGATGCTGTGCTGAGAAATGCAGGAATATATCAACATCCTTAACACGCATCCAGTTTTCACAAAACAAATATTGTTACCTTTCAACAGAAATGTAACTAAAACATAGACTTCCGTAACTAGTTGTTCGTTATTGGCACTTGCAGAAGTATCCTAAACTCTATTGCATTATCTTGACAGGCTGTGATTTATAAATAAAGTCTCTGGACTGATAATAAAACAATGTTAGTCTTTTAATATTTTCTTACAATAAATACATGACAGAAGGTTGAAACAGATTTGTTAAATCTTACTTTCCTAAAACCTCTCCTGTTCAATCTAAGGCTCCTGGGATACACTTCTGTACTGCACCAGTGGCAGAGCTCTTTGATTTTTAAGGGCACGTGGCCAGTCTGGAGCTACAGAACATTTGGGGGAAATTAGGTTCTAGAATGATTGCTCTCCAGGTATGTAGGCTCTGCCAAGCTGCATCAGCTTTCCTTGCTGCCGTGCTTTAAACAGGACAACCTGGGTTAGGCCTGACCCTGAAGAACATGCAGATGTCTGAGCTTTTATACTTTCTCAAGAGCAATGAGCCTCTCACACAGGAGTGAGTCTGTCTTTCATCTGACTATTTTCAAAGAATGCTAGACTTTATGTGCCTAGCATGCGTTTGACATACAGGTAGTCATATAGGTAGAGAATAGCAGACAGACTGCTCAGTGATCTGTCATCTTTTAATGTATGCGTAGTCTGGAGCTTTTCTAATTGGAATTACAATGAGGGGAGAATACTCTGAAAACAGGGACCATGGGCTGGGGAATGAAATTATATGAAAATTTACACATTATTTAGTATAAAGTAAGTAAATAAATAGCCCATTATCAAAGTGAAGGTAAAAGGAGGGAGAAAATATGCAAGTATGTCTTGGATGAGTGTACTGCTGATCAGGAGAGTCGAGTGATGTTGTTCCCTTCCTGGTATCTTGTTACTGTATTGCTTGTATTTCTTTGCAGATGGATGATGACAGAATGGACTCCATGTTCAAGGACATGTGGAAAAGGGACACAGAACAGACAAGTAGCCTGCACACAGCAGCTCAGAAATGGGACCCTGATCAGAGCTAGGGAGAGGGATTGCCTTGGGCCAAAGCCTACTTCTGCACAGCGCTGTGAAGGCCAGGACTGCATGACTGTGTGGGAAGCAGGAGTCTGGTCTGAGGTGCTGCATTTATTTATACAAACAGTCTGTAGGGATTATTTATGCCTTACTGTTTTCTGGGAGTATGATTTTTTTCAGCAGGTGCTGAGAAGTAAATAGCAGCAGTTCTTGGTTTGGTACACAGAGGTTTATAACACAATGACTGGATGTGAGAACAACGATATTCACTTACAGAGGTGCAAGAAAGTTATCCAGATTGTTTAGCTGGTTTCTTGTACTTGAGAGATGAGAGATAAGTGAACATGTTTTTAATTGAAAGCAATAAATACAGTTTGAAGAGTGAGATGTTTCCCATGGCCGTTCCTACTATCACCATTATATTGGAAGCTAGCCATTACTGCTTCCTGCAGTTATAATCACCTTGGCAAAGGAGATCTGCAGGCACTGGGATGATCAAAAACAGTAATAATGTTTTGAGAAGGAAATGGCATAATTTTGGGCAGTGTAAGTGGGAATCATGGAAGAAAACATAGATTAAGACCTGTACAACTTGAAGACAGTTTTCATATGGTGTATATGCTGCAACTTTGAATTTTCAAATTCAGTCTGGAGTATTGCATAGTTTTAAAACATTTACTTTTCCATTTTAACTTTTTTCCCTCTCAAAAAGATCTATCAGACACTAGCAGATTTTTTCAGAAGTTTCTTCATATCTTATTCTTATGAACATTATTTAGATTTACTTTCACTATATTTCCTTTTGTTCATAGAACAAAAATTGCCTAATATTTTCAGGACAACATCTTGCATTCACTTCATCATAACTTTTCAGATATTTTCTTATCCAAAAGACTGTTTTTTCCTTAAGCAAATGACTTTTGTTCTAAATATGTATTTTTAGGGGAAAATGTAGCAGTTATCATTTTTGACAAATCCAATGTCTATGTAACAGAAGATTGGAAGTCAGGAAATCTCTGACGTCTTGAAATATTTATGTTAGCATGACAGAGGCTGTTATAAGGAGGCAAAGCAGCATAACTATGACTTTTGTAGAAACCTAAAAACCATCTTCTTCCAACAGTGCTCTGTAAAGTGTGGTAAGGGAGTACGACATCGGACTGTGAGGTGCACCAATCCCCGCAAGAAATGTGTTTTGTCCACGAGACCTAAAGAAGCAGAGGACTGTGAGGACTATTCCAAATGCTATGTCTGGAGAATGGGTGACTGGTCTAAGGTGAGGCGTCCTTGATACTAATGCCCCACAGCATAATGTATTTTGCAGGCTATATTCTTTGTAAGAATTGCTTATATCAAAAGTATAGGAGTCTCCTATCTGAGCAAACAGTAAGGCTACAAAAAGCCCCAACTCAAAAACATGTAGTCATACTGGGACCACAGTATAAATAAAAATCAGAAATATGAAAAAAGCATGAGATCAATCTTCAATATCATGCAAATCTGGTATAAATTTACTGTTGTCAGGAGGCAGGCAAAGAGCTCCAGTAACTGCAGCTCACTCCAGCCTTACAGTTTGAACATTTCATTAATTTGTGTTTGCACATTTTATTTGTGTTTCCAGTAAGTTACACCCTTCAGCCTTATAAGGAAGCATCTTTATTAAATTCCTACATATTTAATAAATTCCAACCATTTAATATCTAGGAAGCGTCGCTGTTTATTCCCAACACTTGGCATAGCTGTCAGTACATTATTTTCCTGGCATATGGGCTTTGATTCCAGTGTGGTACATAAACATAGGCCAAACTGCAACAGAAAACACTGGTTGGATCTGTGATTGAGTATCTTACTGGACTGGGACCTGGAACATCTGATACATTTTTGAATCCCCAAAGCATGATGAAATATTGAAATTAAACCTTGTCAAGGTTTTCTGTTGCCATGTCACAGACCACACTTTAGCAAAGAGATTGTAATCTTTTTTTTTTTTGTTCCTTGCTTCTCTTCATAACTTTTCATACAATGCCTCTACTTTCAATGCCTAACATTATAGCAGCAATTTTTAACTTGCTTGTATGGAGAAGTATTTAATGTATTTTTAGTTGTCTTCCATGTGATGTAACAGCTGGAAACAAGGACTAAAGCCAGCAGTGTATGACTAGCCAGCCTTCCAAGAATTAACTGCAAGTACTCAGTGGGCAACTAGGGTTTCATAGAATTCTGCTTGAGAACTCATATTTTATGATGGTGGGGTACAAATTGTCACTATTGTGTTACTATTTATTCCCTACTCTTCACTTTTTTCACTTTTAAAGGATAAAGGATAGTGTTAAATGATTTATATATATATATAGTAGTGATCATTGGGAATATTTAGGAATATTTTGGAACTGACTCACAAAAACTAGAAGATAACACCCTTGGCCTTAGTTACATCAAAGCCACAAAGTGGTATAACCATCAGTTTTTTAAGCAATAAAACCAACTAACCTTTAGTATCATGGTCACTTTTACAAGAAGGTGTTTCTGGCAATGAAGTTTAGTATTTATATTTCCATATACCATAGAACTGCAGTAAAAACCTTCATCATTTAGCACTAGAACTAGCAGGGAGAAATGACCATCTGCTTTCTTAGTTGAAGCAATCATTCAAATGGGGATTGCTGAGGCTATGTGGAGATGCTCAGGCAGTTACACTGTGTTCTCAGTGCCCTCTGGAGAAAAGTCTCTAAAGCAGTACTTTTCACAAACATCCATGTTAGAGATGAGTGTACAAGAACTTCTTCCTATTTGAAATATACTGGAATCTTTGTCCTACAGTCAAAGCTGTGACACTGTCACCTGAATTGTACTTTAAGCTTCAAAACTAGGAGATGAGGGAGTATTTCATACGGAATTGACAAAGCCTTTTGGATAGTTAACATACAGACTGACTCTGACTTACGCAGCAGAGATTTTCCAAGATTTATACCAAAAAATAAACTTTAATTTCTCTGCAGAGACATGTTCAATTTAAAATATACTTGGATTTCCTTTTTTTATTCCCTGTTACTATTCTGTTCCATTGCTAGAGTACATAGCAACATGAAGTCATGGCATACATGTTAATATGTCTGCAACGAGGCAAACAAATTGAAAACTCAGATAAATGTTAATCTTTGCTCACTGTTTGTTTGTAACTCAAATATTCAGTCCAGCCTTCTGTGTTGACTGTTTTTACTCTTCAGGATTGTTCTTGACATTAACAGAACGCTGTTCCTTTGAGCAGAGCCAAGTTCCCCCAAGCTAATGCCAAGACCTGGCTTGAAAAATTTAAGTTATGCTTTTCACACATTGAAACAAGAGGCTTAATGTGATCCTTATTGGCCTTGCTGCTCCCCTTGAGCTCCTAAGACATAATTTTAAATGAAACTTAAAATGCACTATTACTGAAAAGATAACATTATTAATAATCACAGTCGCGCTGCAGTAGAGTTAATTTGTTTTAGAGGTACAGTCACATAAAGATCATATAATTCTTCTGCTCAATATTTTAACGATACCAAGAATAAAGAAAATGTGACCAAAATTGCCAGCTCCCACAGGTCAATAAACACATCAATCATTCTAAAACTCTGACTTGATTTAAAAGTATGCTGTATAACCTGGCCTACATGCAGCATTAAAGTTCATAATAGCTCTTAAGTCAGCAAGGTGGTTCAATGCGCTAAGCGTTGCTGTTCTTAACATCAGTTGGGCTCTATGCCTGCCCTTGCGAGGAAATAAGTGTGATGAGAAAGTAAAGAATACAGGCTCAGACTGAGCTTCTGGAGCCAGCACCTAGCAATGTTACCAATTACATTGTCTTTTCCCAGTGAATATTGTCCTTGGAATACCATACTTAACAATGTAAAAGTTAATCTTCAGATGAGGAAAGATGATAGTTCGTAGCTAATATAACACCAGTTAGGGTGAGGCATAGCTCAGTCATATTAGCAGCAGCGTCCTATACTAAGCTCCCCATTGCCACCCATGTCAAGGCTATATGAGGACAGAGTCATGCTTAGAGGAATTACTTATCTAAAGATAAAGAGGTAGTCACAGGAGAAGTGAAATGAAACGTGTATGAACTGCATGTTTACACATATACCTGGCTCCCTAGAGAAAAATTTCCATCATTGTAGAAGTTATTCTTCAAGGAAGACCTACGTGTCAACAGCACAGGAAGCTCAAAGGGCAAATGTAGGGTATTTTACTTTATGGAAATTCTATTTTAGAAAGAAAAAACTTGGAGACTGAGTTTTGAAAATAATAATTTAAAGCCTAAGACTGATACGTTTTTATAACAGAAACTTTCCAAGACATTAAACAAGGGATAATAGAATCAAAATACTGGACAACAAAGTAACATTCTAAAAAGACATTCGACTGTGGAAGCTGGGAAAAGGATGCATTCAATATAAAGTAAAGAAGCGGCAGCCGCAGAATTTCTAAGTAGTATGTATGTGTTAGACCAGAGAGATATTGACAAAGAAGGTCATGAATGTTGATGTTGGGGGCAGGCTTGGCTGTAGTGATCATGACATTTTAGCATTGCTAGGGAAAGAATAATAAGTAAAACCTCTACCCTGGAGTTTAATAGGGCTAACTTTGTCTTCTTTAAAGATCTGTTCAGAAGTATCCCATGGGCTAGGGCTCTAGAAATAGTGGGGCACAAGAGAGCTGGTCAGTATTCAAACTCTGCTTCCAGCAAGTGCAAAATGAATATATTCTCTTAAAAAAAAAAAAAAAAATCAAGTAGAAGAGGCAGGAGGCCTGCATGGATAGATGAGGAGCTCCTGGAAAAACTGGAAGAGAGAAATTTACAATACATGGATAAAGAGTCTGATTAATTGAGAGGATAATAGAAATGCTGCCAGAGTGTGTAGAGACTCAACAAGAAAGGCCAAGGCTCTCTTGGAACTTGTTCTGGCTAGGGAGGTGGAAGATAACAACAAGAAATTTTTCAAATACATCAGTGAGAAAAGAAAGAGGAGAGAAGGAGTGGGTCCACTGCTAAATGAGGTGAGAGAGATGATAACAGAGGATACAGAGATGGCAGAATTGCTGAATGCCTTCTTTGCCTCAGTCTTTACTCCGAAGACTAGATGATCTCCAGAAGTCCCTTTCAACCCCTAGTATTCTATGATTCTGATTCTATGATTCTATGCTGAGAAGTAAAATATGACATCTGGGATAATGGTCCCAATGGTATGGATGGACTTTGCTTTGTCTATAGCCTGAAGAAGCAAAATGTGGAGCAAACGTTAATCTGCTGAATTTTTTCCAGTGAGTCTGAAAGGATATCTGTTGCAACTGCTTGGTTTTTTACATAAATGAGTCCCAGAATTTGTGGTGTATTCCAATTTATTTAAGGCAGAACATGCAGTGCCCTCTAGGAGGAATCCGTGTGTACTGGGGGGAGGTAAAGTCTCCAGCTGTTGCAGGAGAGAGGGTGAACCCAACAGGTTACAAAGACATTGCGCAACTGAGTGGTACAAAAGCAGCTGTCAGTGATAAGGTTCGCTTCTCTTCTACCCCTGTCAAAGAATATGTGAAAATAGAGGAAAAAAAACAAATTCTTTTTTTTGCCAAGTATTCAACATTATGGGACATTGAACCATCAAACTGTGTGCTTAAACATTTAAACAAGCCCTAATTTTCCATACCAAATAGACTCAACTGATTTTGTCTCTTTCAATTTAAAAAAAAAAAAGAATTTGGATAATATTAACGATACAGTTAGTGACAAGATAATTAGTTTTGATTTTATTCTTTGGATCCCCATCCAAAATTGTTAGCTCTTGTGGATTCAAGGAACAGAAAATATGTCACTACTAATATATTTACAGACTAAGAAATTGTGTGACTTTTTTGAAATAATAGAAGTCAAAATAATACTGGCATCACTTTAATAACTTTTATATCAACTTAATTATACAGTTAGTTTCCAGCAAATGAAGTATGTCTTTTTTTCAGAAATTAAGTATGAGAAAATCATATGGAAGATGTCAATATAATGAAATGAGAGCAGGGATCTTTTGTACATTTCTAACCAATCCTGTAATATTGACATCATTTGTTTTAGGTAAAATTTTTTTGTAGATAAACCTACTGTAATATTTTGCCTGGAATAAATGTAATGTGATGTTAGTTACTAGAAAAACAGAATAAGACCACCCATAATAATAGGCAAAAGCACTGATAAGACTGGAAAGAATTTTAAAAGTAGACATTACTCATTTTGAACATCACAAA